CCCCCCCACCCCAATCCCCAGGCCGGCGCTAAGCACAGCTATTTCATGAAACGGATTGTTTCATGTCTAAAGGCTGAAAATTAAATCATTCAGTCTTGCAGCCTGTTAGGCCAATATGGTTTCTTGCTAAAAAATTAATTTAAAAATAATTTAAAGTGAAAATGAATTTTCCGCTTGCTGATTAGTTTTATAAAATTATAGCTACCATTTTTAAAAGATTGTCAAATTATTTTGCGCAATTTAGTCCTAACCTGTTAAACAAGTTTGTGCCTTGTTTTTTAATCTCATCAAAAAGGTTTGAAAAATCAGAGCAATGCTTACCATGACCTAGCAGAGGAGGAAATTTGTATGTCTGCTTGCGATTGGTTCAAATAATATGGTACGTAATTGGGGCCAACCAATCACATTTTAGCAGCATTTGTTAATTACGGGAACACTTGTGTTGAATATTGGCGCCAATTTTTTAAAAAGTTTTTATTTTCTTAGCATATTTTTATTCACCTTTTTGGCAGCTGTTTTCCTCTCGGCAACGGATTTCAAAGCTTTTTTCACGAAGTACAAAGTATTATCTTCCCTTTTGTTTTTCTCCTTGTGAAACCGTCATTTTTTTAAAAGTTAAAATTAAGAATGCTGAAGAATTTGTTATAAAAATTCAAATCAATAGAATCAATTTTAGCTAAAGTAATTATGCGAAAAAGTCTAGTTTAAATTAATAAAGAAAAATAAATTGTCAAAAAATTAGAAAAGAATAAAAAAATGTTGACAAGAGACTTCAAAGCAATTGTCACTTGAGCGTGAAAAGTGTTATCTTGCTTTTGTCCGTTTCTCCTTTAAAGCTAAAAATGAGAATGCTAAAAAATCATAAGCTATTCAAATGAACTAAGGTAAATTTAGGAGAACGTTGTACTACATAAACTACAGATTTTTTTTACAAAATTAAAGTTCGACCAATATTTGTACATGTTTACCCTTCAGATAATTAATAAATATATATTGTTAAATGTTTCGAATATTAAATTACAGCTACGTACAGCTCTTTTTATTTGGTAAAAATATTATGTTGAATTTAAAAACAAATAAGGTTGACATTTGTTTCAAATATTTCGTTTCGAAAATCCTTCAGTTTGAAAATTTAATATAAAATGTAGACTTCCTTCCATCTTGTATTGAAGTACGTGTCTTACATTTCATTTTAAATATTCGGATAGTTTTTTTCCGTTATGTCTGAGGTGTTTGTTGTCAGTACTCACCTGTTAAAGCGTCAGCAAATGCCAGATTCAAAATAAGCATATTGTAGGTTTTCCTCAACATTCGTTTCCTTTTGAGGATCACAGCACACAAAAACGAATTTCCAACGGTCGACAGCACCGCAATAACGGCGAAAGTTATCTTTAGGGTAAGATGTGACTTCAAGTACGCATTTTCTTTTTTGTCTTCGAGGGTTAAATTGGAAGTGAAGTTGCTGGAGTTGCATTTAATGTTGTACGAGACGTCATCTGTTGAATTCATCGCGAATTCTAGYTACAACTGCCCTCACTATTAACTCCCTTTCGACTTTAAATAACAGTTTATGGGGCTTATATTTCTTTCCTGTYACCAATGACAAACAAACACGACTGTATTAGTTGAAATCCATTACATAATTAGATATAACGAGAACGGAGCTGTTTTAAGGTGGCTCGACCCCCTCACGCTTGACCGCTACCTTCCACTTTTGGAACGCTAGTGCATAAACGTCTTTTATCCGATTGCAAATCTTTTTTGCACATAAGTCACATAAAGATGGAATTAATATTTGATGCTAATTTTAGTGAGATCGGACGTCATAACACGTGATTATGATGAAATATTTGATTTCGTTTAGAAAATAAATTTAGCCTTGCAGAGCGTTCAACACTAAAATGCTTCGTACCACATAATTATATACT